GGGGTCCTTCAGGATCGACGATCCACTTCGTGCGTTCAGCACCCTCTCACTTTCCTCCCGGACAGCTTTATTCAGAAGCGAGGACGAGTTGATCTTCTCGTTCGGTCACATTATGATACTCCCGGCTAAGCCGCCTGCCGTCAAGAACCGCCGAACTCTTCGAGGAACACCTCGTTCAGCTTGAGAAGAGCATCCACCGAAGGAATAGCCTCGACGGTGACGTTGCCGTCTTCCTCCCCGTTATACCGTTGACGAGAGTGTATGGCTTTGCGCTATCATCTATGGTAGACACACCTTGGGTCAGGGTCGACGCCCGGCGTCTTCCAGCTAGCTACGGCATCGCCGACTCCTCTCTTAGAGGTTTTACATTTCATTGAGACCAGTGGGAAAACGCACTCGGTCGTCCAGTGTCCCCAATCCTTGCTCTATTGGAGCCTTGATGTTATTAACAACATCCGACAAAAAGCTGCTAATCGCAACCTTCGTCCAGTGGATACGTGCCACTCCATGCGCACCACTAGGATCTAGCCCAAGATGCCTCGGCTTTCTTCCGACCATGCCACTCTTAGCATGTAGCAACTGCTTCGTAATGTGAGTAGTGCTCAGTGGATTTCCTGCCACTCCACGCGCATCACAAGAGCCTCGCCCTTGATGCCTCGTCCATTGGCCGACCATGCCACTCTTGGCATGCGGCGGCTGCTCCAATACTTGAGCAGCGCTCAGTGAGTTACGTGCCACTCCACGTTCAGCTCGCGAGCCATGCTCGGGACTCCTGTCCAAAACACGTTGGTGTTCGACAACTTGGATACTCCGATATCTAGTACATTGACCGTCCCGGTCCAGTTGCCTCCTAGCAGAGGTGGGGTCACGACTCATCACATCCTAACCAAGAGACGTGCGCGTAGCGCCCAAGGTCTGCGATCTTTAATCAATCCATGGCTCATGGTGTTCCAACCATACCAAGGATAAGGCCATACCTTGTACCAAGTCTAAGACGTTGCCATTCAATTTGACTAACAGCAAATCTCAATGGTGGCAGAGCGAGTTGTGTGGTGATAATTCGCGATAGAGTATCGCAGTTAGGCGGACTGACTGGGTGAATATATGGATTATCAGAAAGGCGATCATGTTGCCGTACCAAGGCGCGGGGCCCAGAACCACCAAGCTCGAGTACATCACACGGCTCGAATTAGAGTGTGATTTGCTTAAAGTTTTATATAGCTAGACAAACGAGGGCTTTACTAGTAAAATTTTTCTCTGGGGATGGCGTCACAACTATCAGTTGCAATTATAATTTGATTCAGCGGAAAGGCTTCACGCTGTATCGTCATCTTTCAAAACTATACTTGAACATACAATACCTTAAATTTATACTAGCATTCAACTTTTGTGGAAACGTTATTGACTTGTCTAAGATTAATAAGTCGTCGTTGATGGCGTGATCCAGTTTTGAGGGCGAAGGAAGGTGGAGAATTCGCAAGTGGTCTGTATGTAATTTTGCATTGTTATACTGACTGTTGTATACATCGCCCGAAAAAATATACAATGCTGTTCTCGATGACTAAAAATGCCCATTGTAGCATTTTTATACCTACCATTCATAGTACATCATATTTTTATTTCTATTCATTGACTTAAATTTTAATACAAATAAAACTTTTAAAAACAATCGATCCATGACCAAGCGCAAGCATCTAGATAGTAAAGCTGCCGCATCCTCAATCACTGAGACCTTGAAGCAGCTAGATAGTAAAGCTAATGTATCCTCGACCATCAAGCCCAAGAAGCAACTCGAGCAACAGCAAAAGGTTTTAAAGCGGCGTTGTGTTGGCAACTTCAGAAGGTGCGTAGATGCTGCTACTTTCCGTATGAGTTTCGGATAGTTGCTGACTATCAGCTGGTGCTCAGCTATTACACATACCGGCTGGGTCAGAAACATCAAGGTGAGCTGGAAGACGATCCGCGTCTCGCAGCGCTGACTAAAATTTGGTTTGAGAGCAAACGTGGACTTGATATCGGATGCAACTCTGGAGAGCTGACGATAGCGATTGCCAAACATCTGGCACCAAGCTATCTATTAGGTGTGGATGTTGACCCACAGCTCATTTCAAGAGCTAGAGGACATTTAAAAGATCTTATACGGCAAGAACAGATCGAAAAAGCTTACAAAGAAATCTCCGTCAAAATAAATACGAATGATGAGAATGGAATCACGGAGTCTCTTGCTGAAGTCAGAAGTAAGGATCAAGGTATTGCAGGTGATGAAATCAGATGCAATAAAAGTGCCGCGATTGAAGATGTCTTTGCTAGCAATATGCCAGTATCTTTTAAGCTATGGAAGCCGTCGATGAAGACAAAAATCCCTCGTGTTATTGGCAAAGCTATTGCCGGGTAGGTTTATATCAATTACAGATGATACTCGGTGGCTTATGTATTTCTACTTGTAAAGTCAACAGTTTCCATTCAACGTGATATTCAAGCAAGAAGATGTTGTGGTGGATGCTCATGCAGGCAAGGACTATGATTTTATAACGTGGTACGATGGTGGCCAGACGCTATAAGAATGGATTCTGATAGGCTTTTTATTGTCTTGCAGCTTCAGTGTGACAAAATGGATCCATCTTTTTCACGGAGATGATGGCATCAAGAAGGTTTTTCAGAAGATTTATGAACTTCTGGTGCCTGGTGGCCGGCTAGTTCTGGAGCCCCAGCCATGGAAATCATATCATAACCGCAAATTCACGACAGAAGTTACCGCAGCAAATTACCCAAATATTCGATTGCGACCAAAGGACTTTCCACAATATTTAATAGACGTGATTGGCTTCCAGAGCTGTGAACTCCTAAAGGTTTGTCAGACATCGTCGAAAGGCTTTCGGAGACCAGTTTACGTTGCTCAGAAGTAAGCAAAAAGGAAAAAGAATGACTGCACATATATCTTCTAGGCCCTCTCTTCACTTACCACTATTGCTTCGCGCTTGCATCTATTGAATTTTGTTAAGGGCTGTTAAGTCGAAATGACTTAGGTCGTTTACCAGCGATCAGCAGGGAGAGAAAAATAACCTGGCTGACCTCACTGTGAGAATCTTCTATCCTGCACTCAACTTCGTTGACGATTTCCAGACTGACTCACCGTTGCATCAACTCAAAATCCACCTCTCCGCTCCTGAGCTGTTAAATTGTGGCATAAAGCATGCAATATTAAATTCAACAGTAAACGTATTGCATCCAACAGCTAAACGCACCTTTCCGAATAATTGCAGCGGCTTGTCCCCTCGGTGCACCACCGCCGACTCCCCCTTGTCCCAATGTTGGGATCGCGCCTTTGTGCTTTTTCCACATTTTGACTCGTTTAAACATCGGGGCGTGCTTCAACGTGCACTACATTATCAAAAGCAATAGCAGAAAAAACAGCGCCACTTAAAGGTTAAGGCAACGCATATAGATGGGCAATAAGTGCGCTTCTTCTCTGCTCATGCACATGTGTAGAATATAGTTGTAAAGGATATATGTCAGGGAACACGATAAAGAGGATCTGGCTGCCACGCAAATAGACTTGCTCCACATGGCTAGTGTTTCCGTTAATGTCAGTGCGCACAGCCTCCTTCATGACGCAATTCATATTATCCTCCGTCTCGTCGAGTAGTCCCCGGTACGTCTCTCCAGTCTTCATCTCAATGGACACAATCGTTCCCTCACCGTCGTGCAGCAGAATTGTCGGAATGCCAACACCACGCTTACCAGTGACCGCCATCCGAAGAGATACTAAAAGGTCAACTTTCTAAATCTTACAAAGAAAAAAAAGAATTCTTTTGTAGCATTTGCAGAATATTTATACTATCTTCATGCTTTTAACACAGCATTATCTTAAAGTTTTGCTAAATAAGTCTCCCGTTCAAAAAAATTGCCAAAGCGGTACTAAATTATCGCACGTAATTAAAGAGACTTTTAATTCCTGCTAGCTAATCAAGCATACCCCACGCAACGCAGCAAATTGCAGTAATGGAGTGACGTGGGTACCAAGTCGAGCAGTAGCGAGGGTCACCTCATCAAGAGGAGAAGCAGCTAACGGTACGACTTCTGGAAGCGAGCGCGAGCGCTGCCACCACCAAACTTCTTGGCTTCACATCGGCGAGGATCAGCGACCAGAAGGGTACGGTCATACGCAAGCAAGATGTCCTTGATTTCTTTCTTCGATGCCTCATCCACGACTATACATCAAATGTTGTTATTTACATCGCACAAGTAAAAGCTTCAAGAGAACGTACACTTCTGATAGTAGGCGACAATAGCCTTAGCAATTGCTTGACGAATAGCATAGATCTGTGCAGTGTGACCACCACCCTTTACGCGGATACGAATGTCCACCTGATTTGGATCGTCAAAAAAACAAAACGTTAGCGCACCGTATTTAACGTTATGTGGAAGAAGGAGTGCAAGCTAGTTGCGACAGCATGGTATTTACTCGACGGTAAACAGAGCATGCACACAGATTATTTGGGTGGTGCGATAGCTTTGATTGGCAACATTGCTTCATGTGAGTGGTAAACCAAAACACTGAACGCATTTGGCTGTTCGGGGTTGCTCAGCAACTTGTATGTCATACTTTGCATAGGGAAGCGGCCTGTTCTCACGCCCATGTAGATACCAGTACTGTCGACTGTTGCCTCAAAATATCATCGTACGTTGGCAAAACGCTGCTGGCCCAGTAAAAGTACGGGCTCGTAGGTCTTGACACGTAGAATTTCGGGCTCCACCAGTTCGATGGGCGTGCCATTCACTTTAATAAGGCCATGACCACGCTTGCAATATGCAACAGCCGTGGCGTTTTTCTTACGGCCAAAGACCTGAACCGATTCAATCTTGCCCTCCATTTTTTAAGTTTGTGCGAAAATTAGCAATGTTAGCACAATTTCGATTATCTATGGAATCTGCCCACCAACCAATCTTCGTCTATATTTCTACCAATCCATATGGAGAATGCTAATTATTGGCACCAGCGAAGTAATTGTGCAATAACACCACCATGCGCCCACTTACTGACGATGAAATGACCACGGTCTTCGAGAAGATTAGCAAGTACATTGGTCGCAACGTACAGCATCTGGTTACTCGACCAGACGAAAAGTATTGCTTTCGACTTCATGGCAATATTGTGTACTACTGCAGCGAGAAACTCATGCGCCAGTCTACGAACATTGGCACGGACGAGTTAATGAGTCTTGGTACGGCTGTAGGCAAGCTGACTAAAACAAAGAAGTTCCATCTGCGCATAACATTTCTGGACTATATCGCTCAGTATGCTAAGTACAAGGTTTGGATCAAGCCTAATTCGGAAATGTCTTTCCTGTATGGCAACAATGTCGTCAAGTCAGGTCTTGGCCGTATCACAGAGGGCACGCCACAGTACGCTGGTGTTGTTGTTTATAGCATGAACGATATTCCGCTTGGCTTTGGGATTGCTGCACAGGCAACAGAATTGTGTAAAGATTTGGAGCCCACAGCCTTCGTGGTATTGCACCAAGCAGACATTGGTGAGTACCTTCGCGTTGAAGACGAAATGTTCTAAAAAATATGATAGGATTAAGATCATCACTTTCTGATCGGACCTCATGCAGCGTCTACATTTTTTATTATAGAATTTACATTCGAATTCATCTTAAACTTGATTCTTGTTCTGTGTCGAAAAGTAGTATGTCTTTAATCACAGCAGCATGGTTTTCATGACAAGTTGAATCTGCTCATAGGCAGCAAAAATGATCGCACCAGTTGGCATTACTTTTAGAATGTTTGCCGACAATCCTTTAAACAAGCCCAGATAACCTTCGTGCCGAACGATCTTTACAGTGCAATCCCATGTGCCTGTGTATTTGTTTGCCGAAGGCCCTCCCTGTTGCAGACGTGCTTTAATTACCTGATATGGGTATGTAGTCGTAGATGCGATAGATTGTGCCACCGCACCCATCACAAGAGTCGGGATAACATCCATCTCAGGGCTCCAATGTGTTTGGTACGCATACTTTAAGCGCTCGTACGCAACAAATTTGATCGCTCCGTTCGTTGTAAGAAATAGTGCAGGTATCATTCCATTATACAGAGCTGAAACCCCTTCTGTAGCTACAATCCGCCGAAAAGCGTCTAGAATGAGCCGTAAATCATACATTTAGACAAAAGATATATGCAGCCAGACATCGTCATGTGACGCACCTGATACGCTTCGATACGGTACATTTTCAGCCAATTTTTTCGAAACGTCCTTACCAGCAGTACATGCTTGTAGCCTTTTATTGCTTTGTACTTGCATGCGAATCTTAATGAGCCATATCGGATTCGTCAAAGGCACAACGATCATTCCAGCCTCAATCCCTGAAAAAAAGTGCTGCCACGACCCCTGAATCCAACCATCTTCTGCCATACGAGCGTAACGCTCTTTAGCATTCTGATAAAAAAGCATATATATTCCCCATGACAGCGTTGCACCATACATCGCTGGACTCATGCCGCGAAAAAGCGCAAAGATGCCTTCTTCGGCTACGATAGAGCGGAAAGCGTGTCCTAAAGAACGATAAGCGTGCGCAGATTTTTCGTGTACCTGGTAGCGGACTTTCACTAAATCCAGCGGATAAAGCAGCAGTGTCGAGATAGCCCCCGCGCCCAAACCGGCTGTGGTGTTAATAACGCTGCGCCATTGGTCCTGAGTCAGGAGCTCCTTGAACGTCATTGAAGGTTTCCCAAACTTGGGTATTGCACCACAGTCAGTCAAATTTCAAAATATTGATTCAAAGAGATATTGCAGAATTTTCTAGACCTCTTCAATCAAATGATTGAATGCTACAAGGCAATCTTATGCTTTTGTCACGTCAGAGCTAGCCGAACCAATTCTGCCATACTGGGCGATACGAAATGTCTTTTTCTCTCGTCACTGTTCCTTATAATAATAACGCGAGAGCTGTCGTGTGAGTAAAGTACTAATGCAGAAAATCATCTTTTATGTTGGGATACCTCACATGTGGTGGAAGTAAAGTTAGCACTTCTGCTTTTCCAAGAGCTGCACAATTATTCGAGAAATGAGGCGATCTGCCACACTACACCAATTCTAGTGTGTGCTAATCCATTGCTGCAATCGAAACTGGAATTAGCTTTACTGCCTGGTGAACAAATACTGAGCTGAAGGCCCCAGTGAAGAATATTACTATTGTTCGGCTGTGTAAAAGACGGCTAACCTAACTATTGACATCAAATGTGCTCAACAAATGTAATTGTGATCGACTGCTCTTCGAGGACCTAAAGCAAGTGAGGGTTTGCTGAGTGCAACAAAGATAGCTCTGGTAACTAGACATCTATTTTGCTTCCTTCTTTCAAGAATGATATACTCAAACCTATGTAAAATGTAGACTAATAACTAGTTTTTGAGCACCTATTTTCAGTCATATGTATTGCTCGATGTAAGGCAAACTGCCCACTATGATGAAATTCCATCGTCCTCATCAGCTCCATCGCTGAACGGTGAACAAAAGTGATATGCGTACATACGCTGTTATATGGTTCTCATTCATCAAGTTGCGAACCACACACTCATTTTGTTTTTCTAAGACATTGAACGAACCCACTGTTAAGTGTTTATTTCGATCAATAGCACCCTATTGTAGAAGTCCCTTCGCATCAGAATGCTTTTTTCCTAATGTGTCTTCGTGGCTCAACGATCCTTTGTGTGAAGCGCGATTCATATTCACTCTCTCGTCCTCATTGAAAGACATATGGCAGAGCCGTCAATTGTCAAGCAGCGTTCTTTATGCTTCACCCTCCCCGCTCAAATTGCACATTCCGTTTTTGATCCCTTTGGCAAAAGTGTCATGTCACCTCGCCGCAGAGCTAACGACGACGTCCAGTCCGTTAGCAGGAAAATGGATTTGGATCAGCGAGCAAAACGTTCATGTATGATGCTTAATGCTGCGAAAGACAAATCACGGCATAGACGTCAGGTTGATATATCATCATTTGATAAAATTGCTACCAGTAGCCCTTCATACCTCCATGAACCTGGTGGTGCTGCTACCTTCCAAGCCTCGAACATGTAACGTGGCAGAGCCCCACAGCGTAGCGTTACACTGTGTCAAATGACACACGAATCCGAAGTCAGGAAATTCAACTAGGCAATCTTGCAAAGCGGGATCTCAGACTCCTATGAAATAATCGTGGTGAGAATTCCAATCACCTCACCCAGAACATAAATGAAGCGCAAGACCTGTCCACTCCACCTGGACGCGTGTCGCATCATGCCTATTAGACTGTATTGGCGAAAAGCGACCCTCTCACGGCTCACGCTCTTGGGCCCTCTCGATATAACCTGCAAGTCGACTCTCTTCGGCGTTCTCGGCGTGAGCACTAACGTGTGGTGCTTTTGTTGAAGCTGCGTTTCCCTCCTGGAAGGGGCTTCTGCGAGGGTTCTCGCCGCCTAATCAGGCATATCGCGTGGGTGACTGATACAGGGTTAAGCCGCTTGACGGCTGCGCTCTCTATGCTACGCCATCGCTCATAGTACCCCATGCAGCTCAAATTGTTATATATAAAAAGATAAGATCAGAAATCAGCTACATAGGTTGCTCTGGTAGTATGACCTAGGATGTGTTCAGAGTGGATTGAGTGTAGACGAAGTTTTTGGCCACAACCGATGAAGAGGAGTCGCGGCTTAGTCTTTCGAATAATAACGTATATATGGTAGTAAGCTATCGGCAATCAATAAAGCCTTTCACCCTATTACATATGAATGTATGTGTAACCTCTGGAATCTGCATGTTGCTTTTCCACATTCTGGCTTTCAGCCATAGTTTTGCGAAGTACACGCATGTCGTTCAACCTCATCAGGGAAAAATCTGTAAATTGCTACGAAGAGTTGCCAAGAAGATATCAGCGAGCTAAATCGTAACGACAACCCTTTCTTACAAAGTCCGGGTCATTTATCGGCCATGTCAAATAAACAAGGGCTTTGCCAAAGCATCATTGTAAAATGGGGTAGATCAGTAGACGCATGTTCAGCATTACTCAACGCAAGCTCAATGACTAGCTATATTAAGCTCCAGCACCGACGTCTTCCCGCGCAAATTATCTGAAGGAGTTTCTTCACCATACATAATATGCGCTCCATTTCATATTGTGTCTGTGTTTGATCGGTGGTGGATATGTTCAATCGACGCCCAGCACGATAAACAATGGTTTACTTATAAATGTGCTATATTAACTTCACGAATGTATCCTTCGATCTAAGTAGTCCCTTGTTATGAGGGGAAGTTCCTATCAGCCTTTTCAAGCTGGCAAGATTTAACGACAAATACCTAATTTGTGCCGCATCTGCTTGAAGGAAAACAATTCTAATTGCGTAGGCCAAAGCTTCACGGCCAGCGCGAAGTGAGCGATCCGAACTCAGAAGAGGGTCCTTCTTTCACGGTCTTAAAGCTGTCTTTTGCGTTGAACCATGAACCATGTGATATCCTTTCAATAAGATTGGTAATGGGCCGTAGAATATCGACTATTCATGTGCAAGTAGTTGGTTAGGCCAAACCAAATTTATTTATTCATTTGAAGCGGAAGCGCTGAACAATTGACGATGAACTCAATTTCGCGGTACATGGCCGCCGGTCATGATTTCCAGTGAAGACCTCCAGAAAGTGAGTTGTGACGGCGCCAGGTTTATTGGCAACTTGCGCTTTTACTGCCTCCACTCGATTACTGCTATCAAGCGTCTGATGCTGCTGTCCACGCTCAATGCAACGATAAAACGAATCTAAACGAATAAACTATCAAATTGTGTTGGTGCTTAGGCAGTATATGATATAAACAGCTGCATCACAAGACGTTTGAGCGTAGCTGGTTTCGTGGAAATTTTGTCGTTTTGGAGCATCCAGTTCAAAACTTCACCACAGTGAGTGTCTCTCCTTAGCAGTTGATAATAAGAGTCAACAAGATCAAGAAACCTCTACAAAGTGGAACTGTCGATTTTGTATCGAAATACTCTATTTCAAAACGTCGGCGTTCGCGCGGAAGAAGCTGCTGCATCTGACTCATCACAAATATGCGCGATTTACAACCTGTTAGTCTTCTTCTTGACACAGAAGATCGGCGCCGCGCGTGAAAGGTTACTTTCCTTAACTAGCCAAATTGACTTCTTGTTTCTCATCTTAAAATGCGTGACTGACGTTACACCGTTCTCTTCCAATCCCATGACCGTGTGGCGCAATATTCTGCTCCACATAAAAGGCGATTTTATGACATACTTCCTTATACGTGAATAGCACGCTTGATAAACATCTTGTCATCGCGTCGTGATATTGAAATAATCGAATACAAATGTCTCACATTTTGCACTCAGATGACTCACAACCTCTAGGTTTACCCAGGTCGCACTATTTTCGAGTGAGCAATCCTTTTTGTGCCTTACACCTTACTCATGTGGGTCCGTCACATGGAACCGGTGGCTCAGCAGTAATGCTAAATGTAGAGAATATACCATCCTCACACTTTTTTTCAAGACCAGACTCTTTATTTCGCCACTTACAGTTAACCTTAGGTCTGCCACCTATGGTACAGAAGTTTGTAATACTAATCGCTTCCAATCCTCACCGGTCTGGAGCCGAAGAAATCAGCTCACAGCTGTTTCACCGTGTTGACAGAGATACACCGTGGAGACTACGACAGAAAACTCATAATTCCCCCCCTCAGTGTTATTCGAGGGAGACCGCAATAAACAATTGCCCTCTCATCTCATCCTAAGGCCTCGGTTTGCTGCTGCTTCTGCATTCCAATCTCTTCCCGAGACACGTATTTAATTTGCTATCAGTATCGGACAATCATATGTCCTGCATAAAAGCTATCGAATTTTTGCGTCTGCTTCAAGGGTGCTTGCCAACCTTGACAGATGTGATGTTATGACTCGCCAGCCCTTCACAAGAAAAGAAGTTCGTGCTTTTAGCTTACGCGAGCCTTTGGCTCGCGACGCCTTACCTAAAGCATGACTGAATTTTGAATCTCGGACGCAACAAAACTCGCATTTAAATTTTTCAAGTTTTTCATTATAAATTTGACATGACCTTTGATATTTTTACCAAATCGTAAAATGTAGAAATATCGTATTTGTATTGGAAGTTTCAATGCCTCCGTGCATTTTCTACAATTCGCGATTGTCTCGCTTTAATATTGCACGCTCATGAATCTACCTGGGGTTTTACAGTCTCACAAATTTGAGAAGTTGATAGCATCAACCAACAAAATGGGTTATGAGCCTTACGTCCCTGCAAAGTGCCTTTTTAGAACTGGGTCTTAATTCACGAACTCTAAGACGTACAATAAGAGCCATCATTTGGTAGGTCACCCTGTGCCTCCTGGGATCCGACGTTCTCCTGCAAAATCCCCAGTCGTTCGACTTGCGCGAGAGCTTGACTCTTCGGAACTCTTAAAAGTGATATTGAAAAGCACACAGGCCGCTAGTGTTTGGTACTGCCACCGAATCAGCATTCGGCTGCCATGGTGTATCACATCATCTGACATGTCACTCACTTCTTCCTCAGCCTGGCTAAGGTCCAGCACCTCTGACAGGCTCACCTTTTGCACTCTAACCGATTCGTACATAAAAGCTATGCGCTGAACTGAATTCGACGCCCATATTTTGCAAATGAGGAGGGGAAATGCAGAAGGTCTCAAAGCAAGCCACAACTCTACGGACATCCGCCACAAAGATTACACCTTTTGCCGTTTTCTGTACAGGGCATACCGCCATTCCGGTTGTTAAAATTTTCCTTCTTTGAGGATGGACAGACACAAAAACTGCAAACCAATGATTGGGATCACAAGCGCGACGCAGTACCCTATTCAGTCAATGCGAGCACTCGTGACACCAGTCGCCTCAACGCTTCTTGTGTTTAGACTGCTTCGCCTGCGGAAGGACTACGCGTAAGTGTCCTTTTTCGCGTAAGGCCTCCTAACTTATACCACTAGAGAGATTTAAGCAACCGAAATTCACGCACTAGAATTTGACTTTCACTAGCACGGGGATGCTCGTAGCTATCCGAACCATTTTGGGACCGGTTTCCGTCCCTCGTTACACTATAAGGCTTTTTCAGGCAGTAGGACCTCCACACGTCCAATTATTACTCACCCATTTGAGTGCTGGTTGGCAAGGCGGTCGCACCGCAGGGGTGTAACTGCCTGTCCAGGTAAATGGCCTATCTCTGGCCTCCTTAATTTGGATCCTATTGGTTTACTTTCCGGTCCCAGGCCAAGCGGCAAACTACTTGAGCCAGAGATTGGTGCTTGGAGACCACTAGTGGGACGCACTGTTGCTTCGTCAAGAGCAGGGCTTAATCTATCATCATGTCAGCATTTTTAAAGCTATTTCCTCATTTCTGCCCTCGAATGGCGAGACGTTTAACAAGCGGCCTCACTCTATCAAGCTACGTTATAGCTATACACGCCCCCATGGACCTAGTTTGAACGTTCTTGACGTGGTCTTGTCAGCGCATCTCGTAGCTCATGGGCGCCTGTATGCCAATCGTGCAGTTTCTCCTCAACCAAATATAGACAGAGCTGTAAAACTCTCACATTATATCCTCTCAGCGACAATGAGCATATCCAATTTTGGTCGTAGAATAGACGACAAATGCTTCTAGAAACGGCAGGGTCGTTGTGCATCTCTTACAGAGGAGGCTTTGACTTGGATCCCCGTTACCTTATGCACAGTAACTGCTTGAATTCCAAACTGACAACATCTCAAGTAGAAAGTACTTAATTTGCTATACCGTAGTTTACAAAAAGATTAATTGAGGCATTAATAGCGATTGAGTTAACATTAAAAGTGACCAATTCTCACAAGAAATTGTGATTATTT